CCCCCCACATTCCCCCCAGGCCCCGTCATCAAAGAGAGCCTTCAAACATCCACTCGCCGTGGCCGGCGACCCCCCCCTTTCTCCATCATCCCCACCCTCCCCCCGCGGGAATAATAATCGCCACCTCCCTACTACTCGCCCACTCCACCAGCGTGCGATCCCCCTTGCCCCCAAACACCACCCTACCCCCGCCCTCCCCACCAACACCGGTAGTACTGCTACCGCGCGCCGCGCGATCCATGTGCTTAGCCACGTGCTCCATGCGGTCGTTCCAGGCGCCGTCGCCGCGGAAGGGCGGCGCCGTGCAGTGAGGGACCGGGCACCGCATGTACTTGGGCAGCTGGCAGCGCGGGCGGATGGAGGTGGCTTGGAGGTGCTTGAGGCGGGCGGTCCATTGGGTGAGGGTGTTTGGGGTTGTTGTCGTGGAGGGGGTGGTGGTGGGGGTGGATTTGGTGGTGGTGGTGGAAGGGGGGACGTCTTTGAGTTCTTTGGGGGTGTGCATGCGTTTGAGGTGTTGGGTGAAAAGGTCTTTGCGGTTGAAGATGGCGCCGGTGGGCTGGGAGGAGGCGGTGGTGGTGGTGGTGGTGGTGGTGGTGGTGGTGGTGGAGGGACTGGAGGGGGTGTGGGTTTGGTCTTGGGTGTTGGCTTTGGCGCAGGTGCCTTCGGTGCAGACCCAGATAGTTGAGGAGGAGGTGCTGGGTCGTGACGTGGCGCTTCCATTCGTTTTTGTTGGCGAAGGTCGAGTTGCAGCCGGCAAAGTCGAAGACGCAGTTGAAGGGCCGGCGGTGTTCCTTGTTGAGGTGGGCGTCGAGGTCCGACTGCGAGCTGAAGCTGGTCTTTTTGCAGTCCGGGCAGCTGAGCCGGGCTTTGTTGCCAGCAGAGAGGGGGCTCGGCCGACGGGGCCCCGCGGCGTTGGCGCCTCGGGCGCGTGTTCGCCGGGCGGGTGAGGCGGTAGCGGCGATGGCTATCTTGTCCCCGCGCCGCGCTGGTGTTCGGCCGCTCCTCCTCTGCTTCTTGGTCGGCCGGTAATCCTCCTCGTCGTCGTTGTCGTCGTCGTATCGGCGCTTGCCTAGGGGTTCGCCTTCTGAGCCTGCCTCCTCATCCAAGGGCGGGTACTGGCTTGGAATCTCCATCTGCCCCTGGGCGATTGATCGCATGGATTCCAGCCCCAGCCCGGTTACTAGTAAACTCGAGACCAACGGCGCTCTGTGGCGGCTCCGGATCGTGGCTGACGTGGTCGTCGAAGTAGTTCGGGACAGGGGTAAAGTCAAAGTCGGTGACTCCGTTGTCGCTCTCGCTGTACTCTAGTTGCTGGGTGGAGTTGACTTCGAAGAGATTCACGCAGGCGGGTCCCATGCTCGTAAACTGGATGGCGTGGGCGGTCGGCTCCAAGGGCAGGAATCCCGGGAAGGGTGAGAGCAAGTTCGTGTCAGGCGGGGTCATGGGGTAGCCGTCGTGGAACGACTCGGTATCCGGCGGAGGGCTAAGTCCACTACCGGGCGGCGACAGCTCAATGGACGAGAGGGGGCTCGGGCAGCGGGCATAAGACGACGATGCCGGCGGGAGGCTGATTGCTGGGCGGAGAGGCGTGTGGCCGGGGGCTCGCCTTTGGAGATCGCCGACAAAGTATGCCGCGTGGTTCTCTTTGAGGGATTGGTGAACAGGAGCGGCCCAGGGGTTGCCATAGGAAGTCGACGAGGGAGTCTGAAGCTCAGGGTCGATGAACGTTATTCTATTCGAGTCTCCGAGGCCATCTTCAAACCCATTGTAAGGCTGATTCATGAAGGACGGGTCTTCTTCAGGGAAGGCAGCTCCCCCGAGAACGTAGGGGTTGACCATGGCGGGAGCGGAAAGGCTTTTCAACCTTGTGCCTAGAACGGTAACGGACGAGATGGGTGTCCTCTGGACGGCAACGTTGGTTTAGACGCGAGGAGTAATCGTGGTGGGAAATGAGGAAATGAGTGTTTGTGAGTGGTGATGCTAAAGCACTTTCCGGTTTGAGAGCAGCAGGGGACAACAATGCGGCGGTGGTAGGATATATGTATGGTCAAGGTACGGGGGGGGCCAAGGGGTGGTCATGGGCTTGCCCTCGACTCGACGAAGAGCGAAGCGGGTCTGCCACATGGAAAGCGGGAAGGCGCAGTTTCGAGAGGAAAGATGGACATTTGGGCATGGTTTGTTGCTTGTCAACGGACGGAAAGCATACTGTGTACGTGTACGTATGTACATACGGACGAGATGGAGGGGCCATGGGTGCGAACCTCTTCCTCCAGGGGGCGTCATCTCTTCCGGCGGTCCAAGGGTGGGGCGGGGGGTCTCCCCGGTCTCTGTGGCAGCTCAGTTTCCCCCCTCGATTGTTGCGGAGGGGAGTGTGTTCTCGAGTGCGCAGAGCCGCATCTGTATCTTCCCCGCAGTCTAACAACGGCAAGTGACAAAAGTACGTACTCGGGGGAGACAAGCGCAGTCGCCCGCCGGGGCTGAGCAAGGCCGTCTTGGCTTTCGCGAGTGTTGGCTTGCAGCTGCACGCACTTCCGTCTCCTGCACCCCTGAGAGCCGGTGTTGGCGTCAACGTGTGGATCGTCCATATGGCTGTGCCGCACGAGCGCAGTTAAGGGCAGCCAACAGCTGATCAGAAGGGACACGGCGGGAATCCGTGGACCGTCCTGAAAACCCGCCGTCTTGTTTCCGAATCTTCCACAGGTTAGGTTATCTTGGGGACGGAAGGGGGCGTTGTCCGCGGCCCACGGGAAGGTATTCGACGTGGAAGACGGTGACGTTTGAATATCTGTACATGGGTATGTCCACTACATACACAAGCCACACTCCGGGTGGAGAGGGACGGGCCTGGCTGTTCAACGATAGACCAACCGGAATAGCAGGTTGGTAGGTGGGAGTGAGTATCAACGCCTTTGCGGCTCTTCTATGTAGGTACCTTAGGTAGGGACTGTGTCGACGTGGGAATTAAGTCGGGTAGGGAGGCTGTTTGTTGGCAATGCGGCAGCGAGGCAACTCAATCGGCGGTGGAACCTTAGCTCTGTGTCCTTCTCGTCAGGCCTCGCACAAACCGAGATTGAACAGCGGATTAGAAATGTGGTTTTTGTCAAAACAGCCCCCAACCTCTCTCGGCCATGAGCGCGTGAATGCATGGTCAGAATAGGATAGAAACGCCACTCGGAGTTTAATCCGAATTACAATATGCGCCGCATCGATATGATTCTCAATTTCGTTGTTTGTTTGGCGCGGTCGAACGGCATCTTTCCACAATAGGTTTCTATCCCCGTTGGTGGTACACAGGCGTGGGATGTAATTGAGTGAGGACGATGATGAAATCGAAAGAGGGAAAGATAACGGACAGGTCTGGCACAGTCACCGTTTCTTGGTGGGTCGCGGCGCGCTTGCTAGCGGCACCCAACTTGAAAGGCATCCAAAAATTGATGGAGGCATTCAGAGACCTATCTTGGCAATGGTCGCCTGAAAAAAGATGGCCCCTATAGCCCCACAATCAACCCCATCTGTATCCTTGCTTGCCGCGACCCTGCGGGGCTTTCCGTTGTGAACGAGGACCGCTTTTTGGGCCGCTTGAAGGGTCGCGTTGAGCGCCACAGTTTGAGGCCTACAGCCCTGTGAGCCTGCGAAAGATTTCGCGTGCTGATTCGGACACTGAGTTGGGTTCCTTCCCGTCGAGATTGGTGAGACACTGATGATGAGAAGCTCAGACAACTTTGGGTCTGTTGCATTTGTGGCTACAGTGGGAGACCGAGACGGGAGAATACTACCCAGGTACATGATGGTAACAATGGTATTCGTAACTGGAATACTGATTTGATTGGGCGAGAGTGACGAGAAGTACGAAGTACGAAGGACGGTGTATTGTCGTCGTCGGCAGATCTCTTGACTGCGACTTTGACACTTTCGGTAATTTGCTTGCAGCGATCGTGGTGTGCAGCTTCTGCCGGGTGGTTTGCAGCTGCCGCCGTCGTTGCGACCAAATCGATCATTCCTCGGTCGCCGTGCATGGTTCGGTAACGCAAACATCCGTTCGACCACTTTCCACGTCTCAAACTGTGCCGTGGCACTTCACCAGGCGCCAGGCGAGGGGTAATCATCATCGCCCAGTCAAGGTGTGTTCTTGCTAAATATGTCTACACACTAACCGCTGTGTACATACACTACACACACAGTAACGGATTGCGCGGTTAGGCATGCCAATCTCGAAACCCCCAAATCTGCAACCGAGTCCGAATTGAGAGCCGCCATTCTTATCATCATCATCATCATCATCGGACACCCGGCATTGCACCCACCCAAGCCATCCCAGCACTCTGGCTCTGCCCTCCCATTATTCGGCCCCTTGTCGCCCAATGCGGTACCATGCCGACGCCTCTGTACGACCTTCTGGTCCAGCACCGGATGAAGCCCTCCCTGCCACCGCCAACACCAACCTTGGAACGAAGGAAAAACGGGAGGACAACACACAGGGAAGAGGCTCTAATTTCTCATGCAGCTTCCCATCTCCCTCAGATCCCGTCGCCTCACTCTCATCTGACAAGACTGATTCGTGAGAAGCCGCATACAAGCCCCTTCTCTCCCGATCCGTTCCCATCTCCCGTCTGCGCCGCCTCAGAGCTGCATTACCACGTCGACCTTCGTCTCGTCTCTGCACATCAGTGATCGGCTAGTGTGTGGCGTTGTTAAAGCCCGACCGATCCAGAGAACCAATGAACTTGCGGGTTGAAGCCCGAACCAGCAAACCTTCCTTTCCGTGGCTGTTGTAGCCGCCAGACAAGCAACCGTGCGGCAAGCAAGCCTGCCGTTTCCCAGGACCACGGTACTGTGTATAGGTGGCTCAAGACAAGGCCCCGAGCTGAGCCCAAGAGGTGCGACAGGCCGCCACAATTGCTGAATCTGCTCAGGTATTTTACCGTATGACCTTGTGTCACCACTGCGATAGCGCCTCGCCAAGGACCACGACAACTCGCCGCTGGCCTTTCCTCCCCTCGCTGTGTTCTGGAAGTTGGAATGTGCTCGAGAATTGTGTCATCAGTGTTGCTACCTCGACTCTGGCAGCCCCGGCCTCCCACATCATCAGCTACTGTATCAATGTGTGTAAAAGTTGGTTGAGTCTAATTAACTATCGGGGTGCCCGAGTGACAGTGGTCATATCCTCATCTCGGCTGAGTGTAAGAATGTGCTCCATGCAGCCCCCAATCCAGGAGCCGTGCATAGAGAGGCCGAAACATGTAGCCTATCTCGTCCACGCGCCTGGCGTCGTCCATATTGGATGATGCCCTGCCTTGAACTGGGCCGGTTGTTCGCCGGCCACGCCGACTAGCGTATGCCGGCACCATCCCAGCGGCATCTCCTGAAACACTGCGCCGCTTTGGGGGCATTCGACTACACTAGCAACGTTGCCCCTTTTAGCGATCAAGGCAAGAGCCAAAATAACCTATACACACACACACACACATGCATGCGATCTTGTGCCTGAAGTAGCTCTTCTGTCCGAGACACGAATCCTCCCTCCCAAGCCACGCGGCTACTTGGCCAATCCCCCGCCCATGGTCGATGCGCCAGGGGTAAAAGAAAACAAACAACATCCCGGCCGGACACATACACCGGAGAAGAAACAATAGAACATTCCTCCGGCTTTACGTACATGCTTCAGGAGAGACAGAACCGGCCCATTGCCCCGACCAGAGACACACGCAGACACGAGACAGGCAGGCAAACGCCTCCAAGACATGTCTCACGAAATAGGTAATTGCTCCCGACCCCCCCGCCTCCGTTGCCCTCCGCATGCCATGCCCACCATCCCACCACCTCATCGCACCCGCCGTGGCGCCTCCGTCACCCTTCGCCGTCATTGCCGCCGCGCCTTGGGGTACCCCAGCGATCCGCGTATCTTTCGCCCCCAATTGTTCGTTGAGTTTGTCAACAATTCCCCTCGGCCGCATATCTTTCGCCTTTAACTGCTCGTTGACCTTGTCAACGTTCCCTGTCGAGGAGGGAGAAGGTTGCGCGGCTAGGATCTCGACAGGGAGGGAATCCCACGTGATAAGTCCACGGTATTTCCCCCAACGAGTTCTACTCCGCGGCCTGTAGCTTTCCACTCCGCGACCGACTGCAACGGGACAAGCAAGGCGGCAAGACCCCTACGCAAGCCCTCCTCACAATGCTTCGAGAAACAGGCACCTACCACGTCGTCCGGATCGACCCGACGGATCACCACAAGATCACAGGACTCTTCTGGACCTATCCTTGGTGCATAGAGATGTGGAGGAAATACCCATTGGTTTTGCAGTTGGACAACACGTACAAAACCAACCGCTTTAGTATGCTACTTTTCCAGGCCACTGGTGTAACGAACGTCACCACCACATTCAACGCTGCATTCGGCCTTGTTGATAACGAGCGGGAGGACGGCTTCGGATGGTTGGCCCAGCAACTTCTGGCATGCCAGCTACACTACGGTATTGAGAGTTCAGGAGTGGTGATCACCGACTTCGATAAGGCGCTGAAAAACGCTTTAAAAGACCACCTTCCGGACGCTCACCAGCAGATTTGCGCATTCCACATCAACAAGAATGTGGTGTTGAATATCAAGCGCAAATGGAAGAAGACAGACGACGAGAATCAGCAACCGCTGGCGCCGAATATCGCCGACGAAGCCTTCGCGGACCCTATCCTCCTCGAGGAGGCCGACAAGCACCAATTGCGCCAGCTGAATGCGCCCCTGGCCGATGGCGAAGATCTGGGTGCAATTCGCCTACCTTCTGAGGGGGAAGTTGCGCATTCTAACAGCTTTGCTACCACCCACCGCGAGAGGCCGACCTGTGCCTACCCTATGTTTTTGTTGTCCACCCAAAGCCTTGCGTGTCCATCTCAAGGCTCACTGTCTATCCATCCAAAGCCTTGCTGTCCGTCCCAAGGGTTGCTGTCCGTCCCAAAGCCTGCTGTCCATCCCAAAGGCAATTGATAGGGGTGCAGTATCACTTTTTGATGGGGGTGTAGTATCACTTTTTTTGAGAGGGTATATTTTGACTGTAGGTCTCAGCTCTTTCGACTGCGGTACCTGCTTCTCGCCCCACTTTCCAAGGCGGTCAGCCCCGGTCGCATCGGTGGGTCGCAACGCAAACCGACATTCAATTGAATGAGATCGTTTTAATTGCTCGAAGAGGCCAGAATTGATCGAATTAACTGCCCTCCGGTCTGGCTAACTACGTAGCTATCTTAGTTAGTAGTTCCTATCGATAGCGCTTACTTGGGGCAATTGATTCCGGCTGTTGGCGATCGTGATCGCTGGCGCGGAGATGACGGCGATAGTTTGGCTTGGTTGGGTGGAAAAGGCAGATGTCGGTTGGGCCGGCAGAATTCATGCTGGGTGGGCCGGTGCAGCGGGTGGCAGAAAGCTGGATGTACCTTTTTTACCCTGGGTTAGGGTTATATATGGGAGTTACAGTCGAAAGAACCCAACCCTACAGTCGAAATATACCCTCTCCTTTTTTTTGGTTATAGGGTTAGGGTTATGTATGGGGGAACCAGAAATCCAAAAAATCCAAAATTCTGAACAGACAAGACAGCCACCCCAAGCCAGCCAGAACAGCGATTGCCACACCACACAGCAAAACAGACAATCAATCCAGGCGCAGTCCTACAGGCAAGATTGAGACATCTATATATCTAACAAAACACACCAAAACTGGATGCACACGCGCAATCTCAAGGACTCAACGCCTCCTCTTGCTGACTGGCCCAGACTCACGCGCTCCCCGCCTCAGCCGCCTTCTTGGTCAACTGGACCTGCCTGCCAGACCTCGTTGTCTTGCCAGTTGCGCCAACTACCACCTGTGTTCTAACTCCTCCCTGTGAGGCTATTCCTACTCCAATAGTGCCGGCAGGAGGGCCCCTGCTTGGTGTTGCGCGCTGGCGCTTCGGCTCCGGCGCGGCAGTCTCCTTGTTCTTCGGGGGTCGGCCCCGCTTCCTCGGCTGCGCCGGCGCCTCGACGGCAGCGGTCTCCTTGATCTTTGGGGGTCTGCCTCGTCTCTTCGGAGCCGGCGCAGGCGCTTCGACGGCGGCCTCCTCTCGTGGCGCCTCCTCTCGTGGGGTATCATCTCGTGGCTCGGGGGGCGGTGGCGGCTGGCGAGCGACCCAGTAGCTCTTGAGACCACCGAAGGCCGTTGGAGCTGAGTAGTCGACCCGCTCTTGGCCGTGAAGCTATCACCAGTCGAGTCCTCTCTCGTGGAGCCTCATCTGCCTCATCACCTTCCAGCTCCCACTGCGAGAGGCGCCGGCGGATACCATCGCTCATTCTCGGCGCCGAAGGATGGCCATCTTGGGGTCCTTGATTCGAAGGTAGGCATCTCCAACGTGGAGAGGAAGCGTAAGATGCCAGTGAGGATGGACGTCACGAACGTGAAGGGTCTCTTTCCGCCCCTCTTCTCTTGTCCTGTTTCGTACCAACAATTGGTAGATCTTGTGACGGCAGGGGATACCAAACTGCAAGCCAACCGTGCAAAAGTCGTCGTCGCAGGGGGGTAGGGCTGTAATCTCCTTCGTCGAGCGATGGCCATCTTCTGCCGGCAACGCCGCCAACGCGTGCTTGTATTCGCTGTTGATAAGGTCTAAGCCTTTGTATGAGATTGCAGTTGTCAGGGGGCCGAGCCAAGTCCGGCTGAGATACTGGAGCTTCGTCTTGGTGTTCTGATAACTGGTGACTTCGAAGAACTCTTTCCGCTGGTTCATGTGCATCTCGTGGAGAGTCTTGACGAGCCGGAAGAGGTCTGACCGGCTGTTGAGGAGATAGCTTTTGGTCGTGAGATTCGTGGACTCGACTGGCGATGTAGCTTTGTAGCCAAAGTTGCGATACTTCTTGGTGTAGCAGTGGGCCCACTGCTCACGGAGCGGAAACCACTGTTTGTTGAGATAGCGACAGATGGCCGGTTGGTCCTTGAACTCAGTCTTCAACGCCTCCTAGGCGCCGAAGAAAGACGGCTCGTCCACAGCGTACACCATTAACTGGAACATATCGTGGACCCCCTGGGCATCGTGGGATATCTTCTTGGGCGGCGGAGCGGATATACCAGTACTGTCTTGCTCGAGGCGGCTTGCGAGGGGCGGGGGAGGCTCCCTCAGAGGAGTCTAATTGATTTGTAAGTAGCGAGGACGTGAGTGTAGATACGTAACGTGAGTGGCAGAATAGAAACGATTAGTAGCTATAGTTAAGTGTAAGAAGACGGCTCAAGTAGATGGAGTTGTTGGCCGATGGACAGATATTGCCGCTTCGTCTCTCCCGTAATCAACCCTGACCCGGATTGTCCTCCGGAGAGGGGCAGGAAAATTGCCAGGAGCGGGAGAGAGGAAGGAAGCGCCCCGTAGCGTAGCGAAGGGCCGCGCGACTGACGAACGAAGCGACGCCAGCAATTTTATTTATTGGGCCTTGCTATTGAGCGCATTTTTACATGTTGATAACATCGCCGAGGAACCCGAGACTCCTATGGAGAGGACGGTGAAGGTCGATCAGGGATGAAGGGGAGGAAGGGTCTTTTCAAAAGCTAGGAACGCCAACCCTTCGAGAGCGAGGATGGCAGCAGTGGTTATACGGCCGAAAATCCCAGACAACATGTTGTCTTCCCACAGCAACATCGCCCGCTCAAGCGGCATCTTGCCAACGATTGCTGTCTCTTGCCGACTATGAGAGATCACATCCATGGATGAAGCAATTATGTTCGTCGAGAAAGCGAGCTTCTGGCGCCGCAGGTGGGTATGGCTGGCGATCCAGAGTAATTGGAGGAGTCTACCTCGTTTCTAGGGCCAGGTGAGTTTGCGTAACTGGATTTGGTTGATGGTAAGTGGGATTCGCGCCGCAGGGAGATGCGCCTCGGGGTGGCGGATAACGACAGAGGACAGAGCTTATGGGGCGGGCAAAACATGTTTCTGTCCAATAGCCCTGCTATGCACCACTACACAAGAGGTGTTTGACTTCCGAGCAGAAAAACGAAGTCCAGCTTCCCCGGCAGCTCACCCCTTTGCCCAGCGAATGCGCGAGGCGTTCACGCGGTTACTTCTCATCCACGATTTCGATATCCGGAAAGCTACCTAGGAAGGCCCCCTTTGAAGCGGAAACCTGGTCTGGAGACAGATGCCACTGAGCAGCAACACGTCCGGTCCAATCGACGTTGACGAAGACAAGAGAATTAGTAGCCTCAAGGGGATCCAATCCAATTTGCGTTGTCTTCTATCCGCACTCCGTGATATTTTCCCGCCTATGTCAAAAAAAAAAAGCCCCGAGAAAGAGGAATATTACAAAGCCGTTATCCAAATCACTCCCAAAACCTTCTAAGCCCGTAGTATGCTATCCAAAATAACCTCAAACTCCCAGGGGTATCTCATCAGGTCATCAAGTCATCAACCCGTCCTTCCCTACGCTCTGAGCAGGGTTTGGGACATCCGCCTCGCCCATGTCCTCGTCCCCATTAAAAGTCTCGCACTTGTCACAAAAAATATGGTTGCATCCGTCGCCCATGCATGAGTCGGTCGTTTTCATCTTCCAGTAATCGCGGCAGTAACACTGACGTGTGGGTCGGGTTAGGAACTGGCTTTGATACTATTTTGGGGGGACGGCAAGTTAGGGGAGGGGGACGTGGGGGACGTACACAGAGCCAAAACCACACCTTGCCATTGCCATCCTTGAATCGCTTCACCCTCGGCAGACTGTCATCGGTACCGCCATGGACCCGCTTGCGAGACTTGCCCGCCCGAGAAGCCGCGAGTCCCACGCGTTTACTCTTGGCCGGCGAACTAGCCGGCGTGTCGAGGGGATCGGTATCGATATGTTTCCAATTGTTGATATCCGCTTTGGGTAAGCCATTCTTGCCATTAAAATGGTCGTCGATGTGGTCAAACCGCTCGCTGTGCGCAGGACCCCCCTTGCCAGTCGGCTCGATCGTCTTTTGGCAGAAGCCGCACCAAAAGCGCGACTCAAAGTTGCGGCCCAAGCGACAGTCGCTAAGTTTCTTGTCGAGCATGGCTTGGTCGTACATGCCGTGGTCTTTTTCGAGATGGGACTTGAGGGATTCCCGGCGATGGCAAACCTTGCCGCATTCTAGTTGATCCGGGCGGTCGGTCGTCTGCTCGGCGCAGCGCCAGATCTCGAGCTGGAAGTGTTGGCTGTTCTCGTGCCGTTTCCAGTCGTTTTTGCTACCGAACTTCTTGCAACACTTGGCAAACGTGCAAGCGTAGGGTTTTGCGTGGCGCTTCATATGTTTCCTAATAGAACATGAGAGAGTAACGGTTAATGTCTGGTTTGGAAAAAAGAAGATGAGGTGACATACCTGAGCTCAGAGGGTCGAGTAAAAGTCTTCTCGCATTCCTCGCACTTGTTGATGCGGCTGGTCTCGCTCGCCGTCGAGGAGGCGATCACTGGCTTTTGATCCTTGATATTGGCCTCCTCCTCCGCCGCCGAGTATCCGAGTTTCTTCAGCATCTCGCCGAGCTTGCCCTTCTCGATTAATGACTGAAGGACAGCGCTCATCTCGTCGTCGTCAAGCTCAGTAGGCCGGGGTGTGTCTGCGCCCAACTGCACTTGGGACGGAGACAGTTTAATTTGAACTCCATCCTCCTCGTGGTATTGAGCGCCGGTGTCTCGGGGAATGTTGGTTTCAAGGTCTATTGTGCCGCATGGTGGCTCATCTCCCTCCGAGTCGGTGTCATGTTGGCCATCCTCGGAGGCGGACTCCTCGGTAGGGTTATCCACGTCCATTTCATCCGGCGCAGTGTATTCGACTGTCCCTGCCTCTAACTGAACGTCTTCCTGCAAGATGCCCCGAGTGTTGCCCGTCTCGAGTTGAACCGCTTCCACGGGTGATGATGTTTGAGCATCAAACTGCCCAAAGAACCGGCTCTGACTCAGGGCATAAGGAGAAACATAGGTTAGCTGATCAGGCCCCGCAGAATCCCGGCTTGAGTAATGGGGTTCAACGGCGCTCGAGGAGGCGCCGGCTATTTCCTGTAAAGAAAGGGGCCTAGAATATGGGGCCATGTTGTTTGCTTGGGCCAGCCCGGGGTGTCCATTGATGAGGCTGGCAGGCGCGACGTGGCCCTGATCCATCTCCCCCCACGATAATTGTGAGGTTGAATCGGGGCTCGGGACCATGGGTGCTTCTGAAACGGCGGTTTCTGGTGGCCCACGGCTTGCAAGGTGTGGTGACGGAATCCTGCAGAACATGCGCGTCAGTATCGGTGTGGCCCAGGACGGGTTGCTTGACATACCGGTACATAAAGCGTCTCAAATCGACCTTGCCCAAGCCGTGTTTTCTCTTCAGGTGTTGCCGGAAATTATCTGGCCTCGGCCAGTCTTTGGGTTTATCTTTACATTGATCCAGATTGCAGCGATAGATTGGCTCGTCTTTTGTGGCTACCTTGTGAACGGACTTCAAATGTCGATCAAGGTCATTCTTGGTAGCAAATCCCTCGTTCATTTTTGTACATCCTGAAAAGTGACACTTACAAGGCCGAGTGTGTCTGGCTTGGTGTTTCCTGATCATTCCGAGTTAGCGCGAGACCTGAACCCGCAGGTCACTAGAACTTACTTCAGTTCCGAGGGTGTCTTGACAGGCTCTTCGCAATCTGGACAAATGAGGCTCTTGCCGTTTGACGTACCCGGTACCGGCCTTGGGCCGCGGGCTTCCCGCTTTTGAGCATCCCCTTTCAATGAAACATCGTCTTGGCCCATGGCCTGAAGGCGGGCAATAACGATCGGATCCAATTCACCATAGACGGACGGATTGCCCACGCTCTGCCTGGCGTTGCTCCCATACCCAGAGTCTGTCAAAATCCCTCCAATGCTCTGGCTGACAGTGTCGGCCTCCGAAGGCGGAACGCTTCGGTGGCCGGTGAAGCTCGGAAGCCCCTGGTTGAACTGTACCCCAACGGATGGACTCGGTGCGGTCAGCTGGATGGGATTCCACGGCCCTCGGTCGTACATGAACTGGTTGATGGGATCCAGCCCCTGGTTTTGCGAAAAGCTGTGTCGGCCCTGGGCAGATAGGGATGATGCATATTGGGTGAAGGGAAGTACGCTGGCGTCTGCCGGCCGCCCAGGGCTCGACATCGTGATCGAAGCGGGAGATGCAAAGATGTCAAGGGTGAACGGCTGAGAAAAGGGAAGGCATCAGAACATCATCTCACGATGGGGTTACATGGGTATCATACCGAGCATTGCTCCTGCTGCGAGAACCGTAGGTGATTCTGCGCCATGATGGAGGTGTCGGCGGTCACGTTGTGTGGGTTGTGTGGGTTGTGTGATGTTGTTGTTGCTGACCCTGCGTCAGCGTCCCAGGCCGCGGAGGGACCAGGGGCTGCAAGTTCGCACGGTTCTTGGCAGTGGGCGGCGGACCTACTATGTAGGCCCGAATTATCGGATTGAAGGACTCGAAGAAGGATCACCGTTTCGCTAGTCGGGAAGGAGGTCGAGAGAGATAGACGTCACAGGCAACGCAAATAAAAACGGCCCAGATGCGCTTCACAGAAATTGCGGTGGACAGACGGGTGGACGCCTTGCCACGAGTCGACCGGACATGTCCGACGAAGTGCGGGAATGGTGCGCGGACTAATTTGTGCTCCCAGGTCTTAATCGTGTCTCAATAACTAACAACTGTAAAGCGCTCACAAAATGTGCGAAATAGCAAGGTCCTTGGTGGTTTTTCGACGATGACGACAGGTGAAAACTGATAAGTCTTGCAGATTTGAGGTGAGGATAATGGAGGGGAAAGAGGGCGGCGGCAGCCATGAAAGGAACCGATGGAAAGAGGCGCAAGATCAGACTCCCTCCCCTCCTCCAAATGTACGACCTACCATGGAAGGTAAGGAGAACCAGTGGTCAGGCAGCCTCACTCGCACTTTCTGCCTGCAATTCAGAGACAATTTGGGCCAATGGTAGCTCTTTTTTGGCTTCTCGGTCAAGGCGAGGAGAAATGCTTCGAGTCACGTGAGGCGGTGGGCGGGGCTCTGAGCTTGCAGCTCAAGTTCGGTTTCTTCACTCACTCAGTGGCAGCCAATCTCGGGAAGCCACAGCAACATTTTCCACTTATCATAGTAGTTGTTACACGGGCACAACACAGGCATGGATATCAAACTGGCATCGTTTTGGGCAGACATGCGTAAGAACCGCAACCACGTTCACGTTATTTAAGCGAAGCTGGCACGACCATGGTGTATTTATTTATTTATTTTACCTGTATGGTACCTACGGTCATTTGTTTTATCTCATCGTCGATCTGTCGGCCCCAGGTTTTTATTATTATTATTATTATTATTATTATTTATCGAGGAGGAAGTAAGGTACTTCGTGTGCAGGACGACTTTAATTACGAATACATCTTGATCCTCAACAATTGGGTTCCTTTCTCTTTTCTACCTTTTTACTTTTCTCTTCGAACCACCCCTCCCCTCCCCTTCCGCCCCCCTCCCGGCCGCCTTTTTTCTTTTTATTTCCCTCTATTAAATCTAGACTTTCCATAACGTCAAGCTCTAACGTTGGGTGTCGAGAGACAACACGGTCGTGGGGATCCTGCATACAGGATGGCGCGGGCATGTTCTACGCGGAACTACACGATTATTCCCGTCCGGTCCTTCGCGGAAGTGCCCCGGCCTGCAGAACCGCCGTCTGCCGGAGCAACCTGTCATCAGCCGCAGCGGGTTCTTATGTTTCCGAGGTTCACCCTGCGCTTTGGTGGTCGTCGAAACCCCGGGATTGGATCAGACTCTATGCAAGAGCCACGATTCAACCAGCAGTCGGCCCAAGAACTGCATGTTTGCTCAAGCCACAGCCCATCGTGCATGGAGCGGGTCATATCTCGACTGCAGTTCAGATTCTCGAAGGTGATGATCCCAGTTAACTTTGCAGATTCAGATCGGCCCGTGCCACGGCCGCGGAACACCAACTACCTTTTCTCTCGCCATACTCCGCCGAATCGGGCCTTGTGTGCTCCCGGCTCGCTTGCCAAACGCCCGCGGAAGCGGGCCGAGGGAAGACCTTGAGCTCTTTGCTTCCCCCCACTTACACGGCGGGGGATTTAGTCTACTCGCCTGTCTGATGGTCAAGTCATGTACTCAATAGCTTTCTTTGGTATTTCTCTAACAACACACTGTGCAGCCTTCGGCCTTTGAAGACCTAGCTCAGATTTGAACTTGACAACCACACATTTCTTTGTATCTCGGTCCACAGTAGCGTTTGTGGACAGCCAATCTCCCCGTGTTCAGGGCCGGAGCCCATGCGTTCCATCACCCCCTCCGTGCAGCTTGCCTTGAGCTGCAGGATGATGCGCCGTGTCTGAATCGGTTTTGGTCAGCTTTGCAGACACAGCTAGTCGTCGCCATTGACGCCATACATGAGACCCAGCTCAACGCAAGCACGAATGATATTCGTCCCATCCTGTAACAGCGAGTGATCTATCACCTCCGGCCTGGTGACAATGCTCTGTGACGCCCCGTCATCACAGCATCCGGCTTCTCATTGTAGACCGTCTCACATGCGGCGCTTTCCGTCCCCACCCACGCTCGCCACGATCTTTCGGCGCCGGCCATGCAAGACTCGGCAGGAGCGTGTGATGCTTACCTATGAGCGGAAACAAAAGCAACGCCTGTGGCTTTGAGCAAGATATGGCCGATATCACCCAGGGCCAACAGGGGAACTCCCGGGCATATATAAGGCGCTCATCCAAGCGGTCTACAAGCCATACTACACAAAACATTCACCATTTTAGAATCAACCCTAACCGCCGTATTAGCAACCACTAACTTAAATCTGGCTGCTATCCAAGTCCACCAGCCACATTACCACCAGTCAAGAACCGACGCAAGCAAACCTCTTCCCCCCAACGCCGCCAACTCTCGACCCCGGGGTGAGCCAACAAGCACACACACACACACCACCTTCTCGATATCCAGCAAAACAAAAAAGCAACCACCATGTGCGCCTACGAGGAGTATATCTTTACTTGCGGCCACGCGAGGTATGGCCTCGTATGCTACTGCCATCGCGCCCGCAACCACCCGACCCGCCGCTGCGATTTTGTGAAGACGCTCGACAAGATCTGGCATCAGGGCAGGCTGTGCGATCCCTGCCAAGCCGCGTGGGCGGCATGCCATCAGAGCCAGGGACAGGGTCAGGGTGAGGGTCAGCGTCAGGGCCAGGGGCAGTAACGTTTCGGACCCTCCCGTCCGGAAGGACAGGGCCTTTGGAAACCACCAATGCCCACCCCAACAATAATTTGGCTGTAAGTCAGGAGGACTGTTAGCATCAACAACTCCGTTCCCCCCCTAACCTTCTTCAGTTCCAATGGAGCCATATTAACGATTACAACAGGGCCATCACCACAACCGCGGCAGGACCGCTGAGCAGCTGCGGCAGGGCGATCACCACGACTATGGCAGGGACGTAGCCACAACTACAGCAGGGCTATTACCATGACTGCGGCAGGGCTAGATACCGGTCGACTACCATCTGTTGGGAGGGTGGTGGGTACGTTTGGTACTTTATTGTCTCTGGCGTCTGGCTGTGGTGATTTTGGCGGTGTAAAATGCAAAATTTGTGGCTTCCAAACACGCCGGCCTTCCAGGGGTCTGCGTCAGTTGGTTGTATACTGGCTTCTCATCCTTGACTTTGTTGTTGTGGTTTTTGGGTGGATGGCGGGCGTGGATGGTGGACGGCTGGCTGTCATGACATGGTGCGATAATATAGCTTAGGGAAGCGTACTTATCTTGCATTACATTGTACACTTTCCACCCGGGTTTTCCTCATCTTGTTTGCTCCTAAGTTATGTTGGTTGGTTTCAGGTTTATTCCCCTCGCCGACGTTTCTATTCGGCACCATTGCTTCTAATTACTTCACCACACATAAACCTCTGCTACGGGCAAAACTTAGGTTATTCTCATATGTTGATACTCCAGCAGCCGTTAGCATAGATCGCGTACTCAACGTTCCTTTTCCGGGCAGGGGGGCTTATAGCCGAATCGTTTTGTGTCGCGTCACATACACAGGGGTGTTGTGCCGCCTTGGACACGCTGCGATACCATCCCGTGCAACTCAACGGGTACCTTACATCAAAATGGCAGATCCGACGCTATAACATGGCCCAAAGCGTCTTGAGCTGCTTTGGGGTTTGACGTTCTCCTTGGAGGGAATGCTTTGAGGGAGCCCATACTTGTTGGGACTGAGGCGTTAAGCACATATGTCGTACGACATCGGGCTGGGAAATTGGTTTGGGTGGGCATTCCTTGCCCCAGCTACAAGTTATTTAGGCTCGTTTGATGACGGGATTTGGCAGCCGGTGAGCTACACAGTGAAAGGAGACCGTGTTGTTGTGTTACGGGTCACATCGACCGGGGTGGCAACTACCGGCCCCGACGTCGCCCACGTTCCCTCCAATATCTGTTGTGGACCACCGGTAGTACAGTGAGATTGTCACACGCCAACGGCCATAAAGCGGCCGTCGCGCCGTTGGGGACCCGACACCGGTCAAGGGCGCCCACCGAACACGTGCTCTCCAGAACAAAAGGCTCTGGGTGGGACGGCAAACCACAAACATCAACTCAGACCCTCACTCAATCCCTTACCACCACCACAGGTGTGGATATGACCCTCATAATTCACTACCTCGTAGCTTGCCAAGCAGATCTCAAAGTTGACCCAATCCCTTACTCCGCAAAGTTTGTCGCGCCCTCCACCTTCCCAACCACGTTATACCGCTTCGAGAAAGAAGGTCACCCAGTCGTTCAGTGTGCCCTTCTCCTTTCTCGGCAGCACCTGTCCTGCCACTCAGCGCTGACATCCTCAGCCTTGGTCGACGTCTTGCCGAGAGGCCCGCGAGGCGTCCTTGCCGGCAAATACTGCGAGGCGCGAGGTGACAGGTTAGTCAGCTGTTGGTATACTTGCCGGAATTGGGGAAGGGGAGTGTGGGGGTGAAAGGGGATGGAGAATGAGGGCATGACAGGGCATATGGCCGGGATTATTACCGTGGTATGCGCCGCCTGGCTGGTAGGCTTTGTTGCCTGTTACGTCGTAGACGATGCCCTACTTGGGGGTCAGCACTGTACTTGTCGGGGACTTGGTGAGGGCGGTAATACTTTGATAGCGACATAGCACTTTTGCCCCTCCTCGCCTAGAAGGAAGGTTACTTCATTCAGCTCAAGAAAAATTCAGGGGTAACACCAATATCGGGATTTCTGCTATCCCTCCTTGTGCAAAATGGGCAGTCATACCGCTTGCCTTGGCCAAGTC